GATGGCTACGTGGACTGAGAGAGGAGAGTAGGTATATCTCTCACGCCTCCATGCACTCTGGATATTATATCTGCTTATCGATAAGCGATAAGACCAGCTGATTCTGAGCAACGCGCTAATCCTCCCTCCAAATCTATAAGATCTACAAATCATTGACCTGTTGTATATTGTGTCAAATCCCAAAAGCCAAATCGTTCCCAAAGAAACTATTATTGGATTGAATATAATCCACAAGAACCATCACAAAACCCCTCAAGCCAACATGCCGTCGATATCCCTCCATCCTCACGCGTCGAGCTCTCCCCTTCACCCCCACAACCCACTCCCCCAAATCTTACAAACGCCCTCAGGTCTGGCAATCCTCGAGCTACAAGGCACAATTAACCTCCCATCCCTCAACGATCAGGGCGCTGTTCCTCACCCCGCCGACGCCAAAGATCCCAACGCTGCCATAACCGCGTTCGAGACGCCAATTGGCAAACTCATGTTCCCTGACTACTCGCCGCAAACCACATCACCGGACGACACGAAATGGATGAAGCGAGTCTATCTATACGTTGGTCGGTATCAGCGGATGACAGGGGAAGTGAAAAAACTGGCGCAGCCACTCGCGTTGGTGCAGAAGCGTAAGAAGCATCCCGACAACGACGGGATCGCCGAGTCCGAGGGTGAGGAATTGGAGATTGTGGAGATCATCAAGTACAAGCTGCTTTTCAAGAATCGGCCGGAGCCAGTTAATGATAGTTAAAGGGATGTGCTGGAGTGGTGCAAATGCGAATGTGATACAGAGCCAGTGTTCGAGAGATACGAAGGACACTGATCCTGTCCCAGGACAGCCGAGAAGCGTCAAGACATCTTGTCGCTATGGCTTACAGAACGGCCTGAGAGATTAGGGGCTTCGATATGGGAGGCGCGGATGTCTTACGCGAGACAGAGCAGGTGATATAGAGTCTCACTCGCTTCTGCCTCCTAGTTTTGAGATATCACCGGATCCCCACGGCCAGTGTCAGCAATGAGATGGCCAATTTGCTCCAAGAAGAACAATCTCATCTCAAATTCGGCGCAGAGAGTGGAAGTTTGTTCTACAGAAGCTCATCATATGCCACGATATTAATTGTACGAGGATAGCAATGAATAAATCTGACCTGAAATGGATTCTCCGAGTCTCAGTCATACCACGTCAGGGCTAAAATGACGCCTCCAAAACCGTTGAAAAAGCGTCGCACCATTAAGCATGAGCCAAGTCTGGTTGGCTGGCTGGTTGCAGGGATCACGGAACACTAAAAGTCTATTAACAATTTGTGACGAAGGGCCGGGACCGGGTCGGTGAAGCGATAGATATGATATGAGAGGCAACTCTAATAATAATACCTTCTACTGCCAAATAATGATTACGAAAACATGCGAAAGCTTTACCCCCTGCATTCTCTTTCCCTGTGCTACCCCTGAGGCAAATAAATTCCACTCTCCCATGTCAAAACCATGACAGTCTCAAATAATGTCGAGGAGAACATCTTCGCTTCAAATTTAGGCCCGGAATATGTGGGATTTGACCACGTTACGTGGTATGTGGGCAATGCGAAGCAGGCAGCTTCTTACTACGTGACCCGGATGGGGTTCAAGCAAATTGCTTATCGCGGTCCTGAAACCGGTTCCAGAAGTGTTGTATCGCACGTTGTCTCCAACGGCCAAGCTATCTTCGTTCTCACTTCTCCCATCCGTTCCATGGCAGGGACAGGCGGATATGATGATGATCCTGATGTTACCGAGGCAGATCGGAAATTGTTGAAGGAAATTCACAGTCATCTAAACAAGCACGGCGACGGTGTCAAGGATGTTGCTTTCCGAATTGATGGCAATATCGAAGCTGTCTGGAGAAGAGCAGTAGATCACGGAGCTGCTCCAGTTGCGGCCCCGACAACCTTGAAGGATGACCGACATGGTTCAATCACCCTGGCCACGATCGGCACCTATGAAGATACAGTGCACTCGCTGATCAATCGTCACGACTACTCCGGCCCCTTTCTACCAGGCTATGAAGCCGTAACAGACGACGATCCCATCAATCGGTTGCTGCCATCGATCGACTTCATTGAGATAGATCATTGCGTTGGCAATCAGCCGTGGAACGGTGTCGATCCGATTGTGAAGTAGTACGTATAGGTGCTCTTCCGCGCTGAAGGTTGCTAACCGTGGTCGTTTCAGCTATGAGGACTGCCTTAACTTCCATCGGTACTGGACTGTAGATGACTTAAACATGTGTGGCGAATACTCCGCCATGCGGTCGATCGTCGTCGCCTCACCTAACGAAGTGATTAAGATGCCCATGAATGAGCCGGCTCAGGGTAAAAAGAAGTCACAGATTGAGGAGTAGGCCATTACTGCACCGCCTGGTAAGAAAGCGTCTGAGCTGACCAACTGACAGGTTCGTGAACTACTACAACGGCGCAGGTGTCCAACACATTGCCTTCCGAACACACGACATCGTCACAGCTGTCACGCGACTCAGAGAACGAGGCGTATCATTCCTCGAAGTTCCCAGCGCATACTACTCGGACCTGCGTCGGCGACTGTCGCACACCGGACTAACGCTCGAGGAGGATATTGCTGTTCTAGAAAAGCTCCATATTTTGGTGGACTTTGATGAAAAGGGATACTTGCTTCAGATCTTTTCCAAACACGTGCTCGATAGGCCCACGGTGTTCATCGAGGTCATCCAGCGCAACAACTTTGACGGCTTTGGAGCTGGAAATTTCAAGAGTCTGTTCGAGGCTTTTGAACGTGAGCAGGCACGAAGAGGAAACCTTTAGACTCTAGAGTAATTCCTTCATATCCGGCGGCCTGGACCATCTCTGTAGATTAAACTTGCTTAGAAGAACATCCTCCCGTCACGGCGAGGGACTGAATTAATCGATGCTCCACTCCATCGTAGATCTGAATATTCCTGAGCCATCCGTCGTGATTGGAATCCGCGGCTAAGTCATCTCATTCTCCTTTACTCCCCTACCGTTGTCATATCCACCTCATTTCCTTGCGGATGAAAGTCCTCCTTTGATCGAAGGATCACCTCAACCCTCATAGAGCTCCCATCACTCGAATTTAACCGGTATACCTCCATACGGTGGTCACAAGCACCCCTTCATCCTCGAGCAGTCACCAACAGCACAATGACTGTACAGGGCACTTCACACCCGATACTCCCTGTTCAAGCAGTTCCTTCACTGCATACTATCTGATCGGCTGAAGACAGTGTACCTGTGTTTCTGGACCATCTCACTCTCTAATTCGCAAACCAAGCTCGGCCAACTCCGTAGTCAGGAACGATGGCCAATATGCAGATGAGAGGTGAGTCGAACAAGAGCGAGTGCACTTGTGGAAATCAACTTAGCCGCAGCTCAGCAGACGACGGGGCGGAATATGGCGCTCGCAACGGACGATTTCCGCGCTTCATCATCAGCGGAACAGTCAACTCAAAGTGTGCAACTATGGACATACGACTCAGATGTGCGAAATGGTAGATGACGATGTAGGGCACACTTGAACAAATTACTCTTCTCATGGTGTTCAAAATCCCAGGACTGCGTGGTTTCAGACAGGTATTCCAGCGTACACTACGTGGCTGTTGAACCGAGGGTAGATACTAAGGTACTTCACCATCCGTCGGAAGAGCTCAATCGTCGGCAGTCGGGCCTGTACTACACTGTACCATGCACGATAAATCAGATCCAATTGCTAACAGCATGTAGATAGAGTCTCCAAGAACTATCGTATCAATCTTTAGAAGACCCGAAGTCCACAAATACCCCACACCGCGGGGATCCCCCCAGGCCCATATAAATACCCGACGATATCCATCCGGTAGCGGAAAGTGGGTGGCACGACCATACTTGAATCTTCTCTCCTCTTTATTTTCATCTCAAGTACCTTTACTTTACCTTAAAAAATTCCCTCCTTCAGGTATATACGCCGCGGCAATTTCACATCCGGAGTCTCGAAAATGGCCCCCATCGAACGCATCACTCTTTTCAATGTCCCCAAGGCGGAAGACCGTGCCCGCATCTTGGAGCAGTACAAGGTTCTTGTGAAAACTGCTGTGAAGGTTTGTTTCCTCCGGCTCTAAAGTTGGATGGCTATTGACGGGGTGCCTGTGGACAGGATGGGAAACCGTATATTCTCAGCGCGGCGGCTGGCGAGTCGTTCCCGGATCCTCGCAACAAGGGATTCAATATCTCTGTGAAGACGACTTTTGCCTCGATGGAGGACATGGAGTACTATGATAACGAGTGTGAGGCGCACAAGGCGCTAAGGGCTGTGGCGGGGCCGGTGAAGGAAGATGTTCTCACGACTTATTTCGAGAGCGTTCTGTGATTTATTCTAACTTGTTGGTTCGCTTCAAGACCTATGGTAATATGGTTACGGAATAGAGGACCGGTCATGCTTGTATAGAAGAAAATCTAGGCTGAATGCCGAGTTCATGCACATATTTGGATAATCTCAATTCGATGATATACATGGCACACATCAAGTATGCTCTTTGCCATAATCGCAATCCAGAACTCTCCGGTCACGGACCTGGGAATGGTATCCAGTCAACATGATGAAGATCACCTGTTCAGCATAAATGCGGTAAGCTGAGACCCAGTAATAGCAATTATGTCCCTCGCAAGCGCACCGCATATCTCGTCAAAAGTTGTCGGAGACAGGTGCTTGTAGTCTTCCCTTCCCAGTAATCACAGGCCGAGGGGAACGAAAGACGTACGGAGGTCACAATGAAAGAACATTTTCTACACTTCGGCATCCATGTAATTGCACAGTGGAGCTCCGTAGGCATGCAGTATAAGCTGGTCATGGCCGGCGCATAGGCGTCATAAATGTACATAGAAAACTGCCGGTGCCACAATGGCTCCGTATGATTAGCGGATTGGCAAAATCGAGTTCGGATGATACTGCTGAACGTGGTGAAGGACGCAGACTCGCGTTGCATAACACATTTCGCAAGTCTAATCAAGAGCTTTGCGAAGATCACTCCATTTCTGTTTGAGGTTCTCATACTTTTCGTGTATCTGCAGCAAAACGTTAGATCGGGACAGATCGTCCAAACAATCGCTGAATGCTTACCTCAGCCCATTGCATCTTCGCCTCCACGAGCTCACGCTCCATCTCCGCCATCTGCTCTGACAAAGATCGATTTTCGTTTTGAACTTCCATGTTGCGCTTCATTATCCGATCCATTTCTGTGCGAAGCTTCTCCTCGACCTCTGCGGGCTGCTTGTCCACAACAATCTTCAGCTCGCTAACCTGGAGTTTCAGAGCATCATTGATGTCGGTGAGCTCCTCATTTTCCACCTTGAGGTGCACGAGTTCTGAGGCGAGCTGTACATGCTCTTTATCAGACGCCTCGGCTTGCTCTTCCAGGAGGCGTATCCGAGCACTTTGGCTGGCCACAGTGTTCCTGAGCCCCTCCAGTTCAGCTTCACGCTCTCGCTCCGAGCGCACTTTTTCTTCCCACTCCGCAGTGTAGGCGCTGATCGTTCCGGGGGCCAGAGTAATTGCACAAGCGTCCTGCACCATGATATCCGCCCTATAGACCTCCTTGTCCGCTGCGCCAGAGCTGCCGAAGAACCCCGACTCGAGAATCGAAGATGGTGAAGGCTGCTTATCAATGTAGACATCGAACAGGCGTTCTTTCAGGAAGGTAGTCAGTGGCGTCATGTCCTTCATTGTCAGTAGGGTCTCAGCATTGCGGCGCATGATAGCAATTGCAAATTTGAGAATGGTGCTCTCAAGACCTTCTTCGAATATCAAATCATAGATTCGGAGAACAAGTTGTAGCGGGAAACGGTAAGCGAAAAGGGTCAGAAACCATTGAGTGGCATAAAGTTGGGGATGAACACCTCGCCGGCGAAGGTGACAGTAGAGGGCTGGCTCCCAGTCCTCCAGCAGGCGTTCGAAGACGTACAAATTGCGATGGAGACCAGGCATGTCATTGATAAACATCTCCCGCAGGCCATACTTGTTCATCAGCTTTACTAGCAACGTAAAGGCCTCGGCCTCATCCATCTACGGGGACTTGTAGTTAGATAATACGATTCTCCCACTAAGTGCAGGTTAGGGTTGAGTCCTTACGTTGAATAGGAGCGGCATGACAATAAAGTTCATCCCCTGCGCATATCCCACGGCCTCGTCGTAGAGAGCGTAGGCTTTACATAGACCGAACAGGCCTTCTTGGTTTCCTTGCGACACAAAGTACCGAGAATAGCTGGTGCGCGCCCCAAGATCGCGACGAATAGCCTTCTCCAGCTTTTGGAGTGCCACGGCATCTTCCTTGGCTTTCTTTTTGCGAGCTATCTCGTTAGCAGCCTGCTCTTTAGCCAGCTTCTCAGGATCAATCTCCTGGGAGGGGCTCGGAGAAGATCCGTGATTCGAGTGCGCGGTCGAGATCTCCGATCGCACAGATGCGCGAGATGAATCCAGGGACTCCTGTTCCCCTGTACCGTTTGTGACTTGCTTTTCTTTATCCGTGCCGCGGGCAACGAGATCTCTGTAGACTTCTTCCAGCTCCGGATTCCTGCTGTCAGCCAGAATCTGCCAGATGACTCCTCGAATGGTCTGGGGGATTCCTCGCTTGATGGCCGCATTAATCTCTTTTGAATTCGGCCCTTTGAGTGCCTGCGGACCATCGTTCACAAGTTTCTGCCACAGCTCCCAATCGACAGGTGCAGACGCATCGGTGGCAGATGCAGATAATCCCGAGACCGTACCCGGAGGCAGATTGGGGTTGACTGTAGGCGGAACAGTGGGCGGCGAAGCAAGAGGTTGAGTAGAGACATGTTCTTCTTCTTCGGGTATACTGGGAGGACTTCCAGCAGAATGACTGATGCTTGCCCGTCCTGACGCGACACTTGCTCCGTCGTTCTCCGAAACCAGTCCTTCATCTCGCATCCTTAGTAACTTGAATTGGTCCTTTAGGCTACTGCGCCTTGGTCTCCTGGCCGCTAAACCATCCAAATCTTCTCCGTCATGCTTGGCCAACTCGGAATTGCTGGAAAGAGTAGAGACGGACGCGGCCGTGTTCCGCCGACTAGTTTGCGGTGGAGGCGACTTGACCTCGCGACTCGCCGTTGAGCTTCGGGAAAGCCAGGCAAATGGGCCAGTGAGTTTGCGGGTCATGGGTGGCGGCGGAGCAGGAACCGATGGGGCCGGGGTCTTGTTCATGGGAGGTGGACCCCACGAGTTGGAAAGGAGATTGCCAGATAGTCCCTGGAGGGGCATGCTTTGAGCGGAGGATGCTGAATTTCGGGAAGGTACAGGGGGAACGTCGGACATGGGCTCCTGGCCCAAATTATTCTGCAGGGTAATGTCATCTAAGTTGTTACTAGCAAGATTCACCTCGTCCAGAGAAGTCGTTGATAGTCGGTGGGTCGTCAACAAGGGCGATTTTGGAGATCTGGTCCTGCGAGGCGTTTCATCCGTCCTGGACTGCCTTTCCGACCTGGCATCTTCAGTGTCCTCATCCTTCTTAGCTTCGTCCTGAGTAACGGATGGGAGAGATGGCGCTTCGGTGAACTGAGGTGTTGCACCTGTTCCGCTCGGAGGGCTGTCTGTGAGAGAGCGTGTAGATGAGCTCTGAGGAATCGAGACGGTGAGGCTGGGGTTGCTGGTAGTCTGTACTTCAGAGGCGTCATCGAATGAGTCCTTATCGACATCATCGTCAGTCAATATTTCCCAAGTAGGAACAAATGCCGGGAAAGACACTCACCCCGTTGTACTCGGCACTGGTTCGTCCGGAAGACATGGTGCACTCGACCGCCTGGAGCCAGCTAGGCGGACGATTTCGATCTTAGAGAAAGCTCTTTAAGGGTCCGTAAGATAATTTTGATCACGAAATAAGAGGTGCCGGAAGATCAGGACAACAAAAGTCCATGATAGGGGAGGGAAGGGGGAGGCGAGCAGTGGGCGGAGGTGCGATACGTCCGAAAGGGAGCGGAGGTTGGATGGTCTGAACTCAGAATGGAACAAAGCCACCAGGCAAATCTTGGGTTGGTAAAGGGGGAAAAGGGGAAGGAAACAAGTAAGACAAGTAGAATGTCAAACCCAACTTCAAGCAATTCAAATGGCTTAATGGTTGACTACCTACTTACTCTAGTCTCTTGGAGTTGGGAGTTGATAACTCTCTCCGCTCAATAATGGATCTAAGGTACCGTTATTTTGATGGGAGAGCCAAGACTGTTTGTGGCTAGTACCTTAGGTCTCGACCTAGTTCTACGGTTGGGAGACGGCGAGTTGGCTGGCCCACAGTTTCAGGTACCAGTTGTCCACTGTTCTTATTTTTAAGCTCTCATCATTATTACCTACTTAGCTGACTCTGATGGTCGCCTACGTCAATCTACAACCTGTTCGATAAAGGATGTAGATAATAGTTTCTGTGACCGCTGAGACGCACGCTCCTATCGTGTAACTGAAACGCTGTTGCCACTTGTTATTCTGAAACTGGTCCGATGTTAGTTTCGAGATGCATGTCACCCGCTCCACACTCGATCGGCGGAACTTCAAGAGGCAATAATGTGCAAGGTAGATAAATAATCCAGATTATGTGGTTCAGGATCATCATGAAATCGTCGTGGAATTTCCACAACATAACCAAATCGTTCATACATCGGCGCAGAGCGACTTCTCGAAATCTAGCCATCGTCCACATCGTAGCGGATCCAACTTCTTAAGTTCAGAAAGCCAGCTTAAAATGTTCTCCTTGTCGGTACTGGGCATAGTCCCTTTCACTTTCGTTGCCAAAAGAGTACAGTCAATCAGCGCCTGGTATATGTATTTGCAATCCTCTGCCCCATCAAGCATGTCTTGAATCTCGTCGATTTCCTTGCGCAGATATTCTAACCGTTCATCATTACTCAGATTTGGCGCCATCGTCTGATCTGATAGTGAAGGATCAAAAGTACACATCAGGTTCTGGTGATAGAACCACAGTGACTGGTCGTAAGGGTCACACAGAGCACGGTGGATGAGCTCCAGTTCTGCTATCCCTGTCAGCATCGTCCCAGTAGCAGACACCTATTCAGATTGAATGGAGAACTGACCATCGTCGAGCATCTTCTTGCGTGTCTCGTCACTGGCGGACCGCTCGCTCAGCAGTCGCTGGATGAGCTTCGTGCGATAGTGCCAGGCAGAGAAATTGGACAAATTCGTGCCTATCATCTTCTTTGCGTACTCAAATTCACCCTGTGCCATGCTTCGCACTTCCTGGTCTTCCGGTGCAAGGTTTTCCAGTGACTCTACGACAAATCGTCTATAACCCCAGCCATGGAAGTTTCTGCTATCCAAGCTAAGCATCTTACCCACAAGGGCAAGCTCTTCTTGCCAGAATTTCCGAGCAACAGCTCGAGGGAGAAGACGCTTGGCTTCATCAAGAACCCACATGCGATAATTCCATATCCAGTAGCACTTGGGAAATTTCCGGAGGAGGGGTATTAGGAATTGCAGATCATTTTTGATCAGCGCTGCTATCTGACTTGTTACAGCCTCCTCTGAGTCATTTGATGATGCCAAATTGAACTCATGTTGCAGAATCCTCCGTCGGTAGTTCCATACTGTATAGTATTCTGGGTTGCTGCTCAGTAATTCAGAGATCTTTTGAAGAGTTTCAGGTGTATAATCATGTCCAGCGATCTGGCAAGCTTCATCAGTCTTTTGTCGTCTACTATGAGGTATGGAAGAAGATACACGGGAAATACAAGCAGGAGAATCGAATCCTACCTTGTCACGAACAAGCCGGTCAAGCGCTTGATAGTTTTGAATTTTGCGTAGTTCCTGTTGGAGGGCCTCTTCGGATCGCTCTCCCAACGAACTGTAGCGGGGAATTCCATGCTACGGAACAAAAGTTAGTCCAAATGTGTAGATATTACATTTGGTCAGATCGTGGAACTATACACCAGCCATATTGAAGTAATAGTCACATCAGCATATGCAGGTCGTTCTGGACTTTTCCTGCGAGACACCTCCTTCGGGGATTGACAAGTACGGTGAAGCAGGCGTAACGCTTGCCTAACAGAAGCTGCCTTCCAGATTCAGAAAGGTCACGTGTTTTGCCCTCATACAAGGACAACCAAAACAACCACACACACTGCCTATACTCTCTTTTGTATCTGACAGTCTCAGGCCCTGTTATGATCCAACAATGTGCTGATCATCAATAGCTTTTACTTATGGCCCCGTGTTTTGCTAGCGGCGCTGTATTTCATTCCTTTTCCATAGCACTTATCAGCCCACATAGTATATACATTTTGTCTCTCGAGCGCGTTACAGAATGACAAATTCGGCATGTCGCTCCTCGAAAAGCTCAGAAGTCTCTGCAGCAAGCAGCTTTTTGCATGATACGCAATCGACAACCAAAGAACGCGAGTCCGTGCGATTAGTCGACTCTGCTACCATTCCTTTGCCTCTATTTGATACATCAATTGAACCTTCGGACGAAGTACAATCTCTTTTGCCTTCATTCGAGAGGCTCTCTATTAGCGCATTTGCTTCTGAAAGTGCGTGCATGAAGAACCGCGGGCAGCAGATCCCCAATAGCACAGACGGTTTTGGAGCTACGACGCTCCTGTCAACAGGCAAGGAGACCGCTATTGAGAGAGGTCGCGGAAGATTTAGGCGGACTTTCAATGGTGTTGTAATGGCAAAGGGCTCTAGGAGCCCAAAATCTCCAGACAGATTCATCCCTTTGAGAGAGTTCGTTGATCCTCCGTCCACACTGTTGCGAATGGGAAAGCCTACGCAGACCCTGACCCCTGAAGAAAAGCTTCTGCGACAACGCACACCGAGCTCAGATCCCTTTATGCCTGAGCGGCCGCGCAGATCTGCAAGTGTCCCGAGAATACAATCCGGGCGTACCTTCGGCCCTCACTATATTCCCCACCTCATCAGCGGCTCAGCTATCAGGAGTGGCAGTGAGTTCGGACCACGGGACCCTCTCAGACAGGTCAGCGCTGGGGCCGTATGGAGCGTCGGTGGAACGTCTGCCATGCTAGGTCGACAATTTATAGGGATACCTGGTAACACTAGAGGTCGCCTTACGAGTCGAGCGACCGCTCCGGTGCATACGGCCAGATTTTTCTCTCAAGCTGCGTCGTCTGAAGAGCCAGAAAAGCACGAGTCGAGAGTAGCTCTTGCTTTGAATATCGACCCGATAGTCAAGATACTGAAGTGCAGGCTATGGCCTCTGCTCGAGTCGAAGCCGAGTCCGTCGCACCCTGATTACGAGCGTTTCTCTCCGTTAACATGGAAAGGCAGCGCCTGGAAAAGGGGAGAGGCAGATCAATGTAAGTCAAGGAATTTGCTTGCTTCCGTTTAGTGAATCTTCAACATTGAATGAGACAGCCTCAATGACGGAGCTATCATTCCAAAATCTATGAAAGCATGTTAGCTTACAGCACTATGCTTGATGCCACCCCTTTGGCACAAAAAGATACTTGTGTTTGTCCGGGTCACTCACATATCAAAGTTTTTCAATAAGATATAATATCACATAATTATTCTTTGTAGAGAAGGGGAGTATCGGCTCTCCAAACCATCTTCGGAGGTGCTAACGTTTGTGCCTGACAGGGACGTCGACCGGTGCAAAAGAGGACGCTGAGAGCATCGTACCAGCACGACCATTCCGGATCCTGGACGCCCCTTATCTTCGCGATGACTTCTATTGCACAACACTCGCGTATTCACCTACCTCTGGAGTTCTCGCTGTTGGGCTTGCCCATCGCGTGTATATTTGGTCGGAGATTTTTGGCGTGCTGTATCCCCCCTTCGCGGACCATCATCCCTCAAATTTCGTAATCTCTCTATCTTTCTCGTCCGAGAGCGGAGGCAAAGACATTCTGGCCGTCGGAAGGCGAAGTGGGCTGGTCACCCTCTGGAGTGCTCCTGAAGCCGAGCCACGCTATGAAATTAGTCATCCCAACAGTATCACTTCGGTGGCTTTCAGGCAAACAGTGACGCGCAGGTTCTCTGAGCGGTTCCACAACGTTGAAGTCAACACAGAGGACCTTGCTGTCGGTGATGAACTTGGCAACATATGGTACTACTCAGTAGAATGGCCCAGTGAGGAGATTCGAGAACAGTTTGGTTGGAACGGTGCTATCACCCTACTTGCCAGAATTTCCGCACATACTCAGAGGATTTGTGGTATAACGTGGTCTCCAGATGGGGCCTACTTGGCCACTGGGGGAAACGATAACGCGTGTCTAATCTTCGAGCTCCGTGATCTCATGCCCTGGCGACAGCTCAACCGTACAACAAAACCTTGTAAATCAGCCCGAACTTGCCAGTCGATAGGCGTGCAATGTCAGAATGCATTCTCTTCCCTTTCTGCAAGCACAAGCAAGCGACTATTCAGGCGGCGTGACTTTCTCAATTTGCTTCCTCCATGGTCTCACTTTCGCCTCGGTTCTTCACAAGCATCACTCCTTAAACACACCGAGTCGCTCGCCTTGGGGACTGAGAGAACGGCAACGATACCCCCAAATAGGCAGAAGCATATATTGGCCCATGCGGCAGCCGTCAAAGCAATTGCCTTTGCGCCATGGCAACCGTCTCTCCTTGCCACCGGAGGCGGCTCGAACGACCGAGCCATTCATTTCTGGCATGCCCCGTCTGGGGCGTGCCTGGCGTCCATCAATGTGTATGCACAAGTGACTAGCCTTATTTGGAGCAAAAGGCGAAGGGAGATTGTCGCCACTTTTGGGTTCGCACAGCCAGAGCACCCGTACAGAATCGCTGTCTTTGCGTGGCCGAGCTGCGAGCAGATCGCAGCAATCCCGTGGGGTCCCTATGGCACTAGTTGGGATGGGATAAGCAACGCTGGTGCAGTTCATTGTGGGCGCGCTATCTGCGCTGTAAGTTACCCAGGAAAGGCACATGTCCTTATGCAGGATCTTCTCGATCGTGCGACCAGCATCTCGTCTTCAGCGTCCACGATCCAGCGCAGGCGAGGGCAAAGCGAACCCGACCGCCGTACGTCGCACCCCATTCAATTACGACCAAGTGCAAAAGAAGGAGGCCTATGGTGCCCTCGGACACTGGATGAGGGATGCATTATCGTTGCGTCTAGTGACCAGACTGTAAAATTTCACGAGGTGTGGAGCAGGCCAAAGAAAAGTACGGCCGCAGCTTGCGGCCCGTTCGGAGGCAGCCAGATTCTTGAAGGACTTGAAGGGCTAGAGAAGCCAGGGAACGAAATCATCAGATAGTTGGGATCTTGTCTTGTGTGAATGCCCCCATGTTTCAGTTCTGGTGCGATATAAATTCATATCGACGAAGGCGGAGGACATTGACCAGCAAAGAGTAAATATTTTTAATGTATCCTTTCGTATCCCTATTGATCCAATGGCCATATTCTCCTATCCTCGCCGGTGCTTATCGAGTCTGGAACCAGACCAATTATGTTGGGTCCTTCCCAAGATCTTCGAACCGTCGATCATCCGATAGTGTCGATCATACTATACTGTCTTTGCCCTGTGCACAGGAATAATACACACTGTGTATACCTGTACCGCGTACTACATAGTCCCTAGTTTGTACGAACCTTATTGAAGAATAATATACAGAGGAAACACGCCAAAAGTCCAACCGTGCACCATTCAGCAACTGCTGAACGCAATATTTGTCTCGTCTGTGAGCGATAATTGGGCCCTTCAATCTTCGCAGGGGTTGACTCGGCATGCATAATCGCGTCCTTCTACTGGCTCAATAATAATCAGACAGCATGGATCGACATTCCGCAGAGATCAATAGCGCGGTTCAAGCACAAGACTTGTCTAACTTGGTTGAGTTTGATGGAAGGCGATACTCAAGCTTAGGCTTGCGACTTACTGTCAACTTACACACACAGCTTGTCGCCATCATGGTGTCCTTCTTGCAGTTTGTGGCATCCATTCTTCCGGGTGCCATTGCGAGCACAGCCGTGACATCTATGCCTACCACCCTAAACATCACGGTCATCGGCGCCCGAAACAACCTGTCGACGCTGGAATGCTGGTCACTCGAACCGGGTTTCACTTCATCGACTCAACCAGGTATTGCAGGCAGCGCTTCGCTCTCCCTCGGCCCTGTAGGGGACAACGCGACATACACTATTGTTCCCGCTCGATTAGATGGCGGGATACACAATGCTCCCGTGAGACAGTATGTATCATTCCCAGTTTATCCTACTCACGTCGTCCACAAGAATCATATAGGAACGGAGAGTTGCTGATTCGAGGAAAGGTGGGTGATTTTCCTTTCTGGACTGGCACATATCACTTTGCCCCATTCAGAGGACGAGGCCTGGATTCTGGGGGGGAAGCATGGGACGATTCTAGCATTGGATACGGCGGATGTCAGTGCGGATGGGCATTATACGAAGTATCCAAGTGATGAGGTGACGGTCGCGATGGCTGTGCCTTTAGGGGATGAGGAACCAGCGCATCAAGTTTTGTATCAGGGTGCCTGTAAAGCGACGGAGGTTGATTTTTGAATGATGGTTGGTTGCGGTGCCCGGGGAAGAAAATATATTTTTATCATTCCAACCGTGCAGATCAGTCATGTTGGCTGAGGAAGTCATGATAGGATAGTTGAGAGCTCTATGAGTCTCATATGCAGACGATCAGGGCCAGAAGGAATTCTTGAGATTAATTGCGCATATACAAGTATCTAGGTAGTAACTAAATGTATACAGCGAATGGTGTGCCCTTCCACCCTCTAATGCAATCACAGTTGGCGGCCACAGTCTCAGAAAAAAATGAAAGTCTCTTTTACTTTTGTTCAAAAAAAAAAAAAAAAAATTCTCCATCCACATAGTAACAGATCACAGAAAAGTGGCAAACAAGAAGAACCAGACACGGGAGCCTAAAGCAGAAGAATCAGGGTATTATCTATCGCCTTCCCGACTTCTTCTCTTTTCCTCCACT